CCAGCCTGCGGAAGTCCTCCCCGGTCGGGGGCTCAGAGGACTTTACAAGAATCGGCTAACCGGGTGCCGAGCTCAGAGGTGTAGCGGCTGCGGCTGTGGCCCCGGAGACCCATCAGGTCAGTGTCCCGCTCATTGAAAGGAGGCTGTGCTCCGCGAATTGCCCGGAGACCCCAAGACTTGAGACGCCAGTCCTCACACCCTAACAGCTCCCGCCGGTAGGCAGGCTCGCAGTCCAGCCCCCAAGCCCCGGTCCTTCAGCGGTTCTCAACCTGTGGCTCGCGACCCCTTTGGGGGTTGAACGACCCTTTCACAGAGGTCGCCTAAGACCATCGGAAAACACATATATAATTACATATTGTTTTTGTGATTAATCACTGTGCTTTAATTATGTTCAATTTGTAACAATGAAATTGGGGGTCACCACAACATGAGGAGCTGTATTAAAGGGTCGCGGCATTAGGAAGGTTGAGAACCACTGATAGTGGCTCACTAGGGCTCTGTTCCCCGAGGCTGTGCTGCCCGAGAGTGATTCTGGTCCACTTTGTTTGTCTTAGAGAGGACGAGAGACATTGATTTGCATTGATTTGTTGTTCCACTCAGTTCTGCTTTCACTGTTTGATTCTCTCCCTTCCCCCCCGCCCCCCACTCCCCCCTCTGGTGGATTCTTGTATGTGCCCCGATGGGGGATGGAACCCGAAACCTTGGGGTAAGAGGAAGCTCTAACCAACTGAGCTACGGGCCAGGGCTCTGGTCCACTTTTGCACATGACTGTCTAGGAGCCAGAAGGAATCCTTAGGACTGGGGTGTAGGGAGGGGATGCTGGGCGGCGGGACCTCTGCTTGGCTCCTGCGGGTTCATCTGCACCCATCCTGACCTCAGAGCGGAGTCTCTAGGAGGAAATGGGTGCGGTGGCTCAGGGGAAAGGAGGCGAGGCCTTGCTGCCACGGTGGGGAAACTGAAACTGATTCCGCTGAAGTCTGCGCGGAGGCGCGATCCCTGTGGCCAGAAGAGGAGGGAAGATGAGCAGCTAAGAACAGCGGTCAGAAGTGTTCTTTTTAGAAACTTGTTTTTGATTTATTTCTACAATTTACCTTGGATTTCTACCTAGATATTATGTCTGAAAATAATGATAATTTGGTCTCAGTCTTATAAATTTTCTTTCTTTTCTTATCCTATTGTATTGTTAGGGCCTCCAATATAGTTTTTTTTCTTATCTTTATTGCTGAGAGTATTACAGATGTCCTCCTCTTTTCACCCCCTTGTTCCCCTCCACCCGGTTCCCAGGCCTTCACCACACAACACTCTTCAACTCATTTGTTTAAGTAAGAAAATGAGTGCCCTGACCCAGTAGCTCAGTTGGTTAGAGCGTGGTCCCAATATGCCAAGGTTGTGGGTTCAATATCCCATCAAAGCACATACAACCAATGAATGCATAAATAAGTGATACAACAAATCAACGTTTTTCCCTCTCTCTCAAATCAATCAATAATTTTTTTTAAATGAGCAATCACAGATTTTAGTACTTTCTTGCCACTGGAAGAAGACTGAAATGTGATGATCTGCTCCTGGCCCGATTATGAAAATTCTGAGGTGTTTGTGCCTATCAGAAAACAGAAATCAATTTCAATATTATTGTCATGGCAAGAGGACATTAAGTAAGCAACCATTCATAGTTATAGTATTTGTCAAGGCTATTAGACATTTCACAGGCCAGAGCAACAGTTTCTGAAGATCAAGGGTCTTGGGGGATTCCTCTGCTAGAAAAACAAAATCTACAAAGGCAACTTTATGAAATGGAATACTTTCTGCTTTTATGTACCGGAAGGAAGAGAGATTTTCTCTTCTGTTGCTGATGTAATTTTCACTGGCAGTTAGGATGATCTGTTTTTCACACGAAGATTTCCATGGAGATGGGACTTTGCAGAACTGAGAAGTGTAAATTTCCAATATGTAAGGGAAAGGGCAGGATGGGGTGGTGGTTATTATCAAATGAACATGGGGACACACAAAAGTCTCCATCTGGACTATGCAGAATTGGGGTCTCTATGACACTAATCCTATCACAAATACACTCCTAGCAGGCTACTGAGCTCATTATATTATAGTAACACTAGAGGCCCAGTGCACAAAATTCGTGCACGGGTAAGGTCCCTAGGCCTGGTCAGTGATCTGGGCGGTTGGGGCCTTCCGGCTGCCACCCAGGGCCTTCCTTTGTTCTGCACTGCCCCTTGGTGGTCAGCACACGTCAAAGCGAGCAATCGAACTCCCAGTCTCCCAGTCGAACTCCTGCGGGGACACTGCATATTAGCCTTTTATATATATATGGATACTTTTAACTTATTTTTTCATAATCATGCATCTGTGTAGTTTTTTTAATTATTATTTTTATTTATTTTTAAAAGTATATTTTATTGATTTTCTACAGAGAGGAAGGGAGAAGGACAGAGCCAGAACCATCGACGAGAGAGGAATATCGATCAGCCGCCTTCTACACCCCCCCGACCAGGGACTTGCCCGCAACCAAGGTACATGCCCCTGACCAGAACTGAATCCGGAACCCTTCAGTCTGCAGGTCGACGCTGTATCCACTGAGCCAAACAGGTCAGGGCCATCTGTGTAGTTTTTAATAGCATTATGGGGGTATTTTTGACAGGTGGTAAACTGCACATACTTAAAATGTACAATTTGATAAATTTTGATGTAGTTGTGGAAGGTGGCGAGTACCAGAGTTTACCTATGCTGCTATCTTGAGTGTTGTGAACATGCATTCACAGGTCTTTGTATGGACATATGTTTTCATTTCTCTTGGGTAAATACTTAAAAGTAGAATATCTGGGTCATATGGTAAGTGTATGCAACTACCAAACTCTTTTCCAAAATGGTTGTACTGTATGTGCCTACCAGGATCGTATGGAAGTTCCCTTTCCTCCACATCCTCACCAACACCTGGTTGGCTCATCATTTTAGTCATTCTAATAGGTGTACAATGTTATCTCATTGTAGTTTTATTTAATTGTTTTTTTTTGTGTGTGTTTTTTTGTTTGTTTTTGAGAGAGAGAGAGGAAGGAGAGGGACAGAGAGCTAGAAACATTGATGAGAGAGACACATTGTTGATCAGCTGCCTCCTGCCCCCTACTGGGGATTGAGACCACAACCAGGGCATGTACCCTAACTGGGAATTGAACTATGACCTCTTGGCTCCTGGGTCGGCGCTCAAACAGAGCCACACCGCTGGGCCTCATTTGGCATTTCCCTAATGACTAGTGATGCTGAACATCATTTTATGT